GCGGGAGACAACGTTGAAGCTCCCAGCTCTGGGCATCTCGGGAAGTGAACCAGAGGATGGAAGATTCCTCTCTGGCTCTCCCCCTAACTCTTTCAAATAAAGAAAATAAACAAAAGAATGCTCTCCACACATCCATACGCATGAACGCAAGGACATGAAGAGACAGCTCAAAGAAAAGGAAACGCGAATGGCTCTAAAACATTCAAAAATTCAGTTAGCCTCCCTGAAAACCAAGCACCAAGTACGATCATGACAAAATGCAAATTCCCCCACATCAGACCCACAAATGCCGAAGGCCGGCCTCCCTGGCCAGGGGGTGAAGCGGGCCACACATTTCTGCGGTTCAAGGGTGCGAGGCTGAGATCTTTCTAGAGAACATGCTAACAGCGGCTAAAATGCAGCCTGTTTTCTCCCTCCCACGTCCAAGAATTTCTTGCACATGTGCGAATGTTCAAGCACGCCAGGGTGTCACCGCCCATTGTGTCTGTCATAGCAAAGGCTTAAAACAAGTCTCAATGCCTTCTTGGTGGTGACTAACAGGCTGCGGCCCAGCCGGGCAACGGAGCCCTCTGCAGACACGACAAAGGGGGAGGGCATTTTTCCCTACTGATACGAGGCCGTCTTCTGTGTAAGTAGAAAGGAAGAACGGTGGATATGATCGATAGGACGCACTGCTATTGGAGAGAAAATATGTAAGATGGAAACAAACTTACTGGAAAGATGCAGAAGGGGCTGCAAATTGTCATGGAAGATATGTATTGTGGAGAAGTGACACACGGATTTCATCGTGGTTTTGGCACCAAAATAAACTTATTTTTAAATTCCACTTTCCATGGACTTTTTGAACTCCTTATACAGAAGAAACTGGTAGCCATGGTTTTGCCAAGGGAAACCTTGGGCAGACACCAAGAAATGTTACTTCTGTGTGCTTTCTACGGCGAGCATATGCCCTTTCTATGACAATTCCTAAACATAGACACGCAGCAGACACTATAGACAAGCCACCACTGAGAAGACCCAACGGTAGTCGGTCCAGTGCTAGGAAAAGAGTGTAAGGAATTCTAGCGAATCAGCAAGAATATCACGCATTGAAAATGTTTCTGAAGAGGCTGGCACTGAGGTGTAGTAGGCTCCACTTCCACCTGCAGTGCCGGCATCCCATATGGGCACAGGTTCACGTCCCACCTGCTCCTCTTCTGATCCAGCTCTCTGCTATGGCCTGGGAAAGCAGCAGCAGATGACCTAAGTGCTTGGGCCCCTGCCCCTGTGAGGAAGACCTGGAAGAAGCTCCAGGCTCCTGGCTCTGGATTGGCTCGGCTCCAGCCGTTGCAGCCATTTGGGGAGTGAACCAGTGGATGGAAGACCTCTGTCTCTCCCTCTCTCTGTATCTCTACCTTTTAAATAAATAAAAGCTTTTAATTAAAAAAAAGTTTCTGAAGACTTGGGGACAGTGCTATTTGATACGGTATCAAGAGAAAACAGCAAATTTCATTAAATGAACACTCCGATTAGAAACATAAAAGTGTTTAAGCTCATATGTGTAAAGTATTTCAAAAGGGAAAACTAATTGTTAGGATAACAGAATTGTGGGCTATTTTTAAAAATAGTACTATTGCAATGATATTGTAACTATTTTTAGTCTTAATTAAATTGTACTGAAGTCAATTTAAATAACTTCTAGCAAAAGGATACAAATTACTTTCCCAAGATATTTAAACCATTTTCAGGATAAAGGTCAAAAATCTTGGTGAATTCATGAGACTATAAGGGGACTTTAAAAGGCTCATGGAAAATGGAAGTCAACCCTAAGTTTATTTTGGCGTACCAACTGCTTAAATCTTGCACAGTGTTTTCATAATACACTTCCTGTACAGTTTTTTGAAGACTCCTTATAGAAGCCTCAGAAGACTCAGATAGACAATAATGCAGCACTTCAAATGCAGGAACACAATGGGGCTTGCGAAGGCTGGCTAGAGGGGATTTTTGGCCAAAAATCTTCAGTTCATTCTTTCGAAGCGGTGAGCATTTGAAACCCACAGGATTCTCCGAGAACAATGCAAGGATGAAGTATGCAAATTAGTAAAAGCAAGATTTAATTTGTGCAGCTGTGGTTTTCATTTCTTAAAAAACTTTTTGGCTAAAATTTCAGAAGTTTCTGAGAATTTGGGCTGCACAGATGCGGGAGCAGGTGAATCAGCTCAAGACCTCCTACCCCTGGTTCTCTCTGAGGGAATTTCTCACTTTTCAGGAAGGCACTGACAACACCTTTCAACAGGTATAAAATAGGAGATAAAACCAGACAACAAGAGCCAGCAGGAGGTTGAGTATCTGGCTAAAGGGCCAGTCACCTGCCCTGCTCAAACGCAGGCTGATTTAAAGGCCACCCAACTCGGGTTATGATTCTTCATGGAAGGACATAACATAGGGGAAAATGTCTTGAAAACTCTAAAAGATGACAACACAGAAGCAGGGTATTAGATGACTTTGAAGGCCTGGCGGACTGTGTGATGCAAATTCTTGTACAGATGACAAACACCAAGGTCCATGGCAAAAATCAAACAAGATTCTAACAGGAGTGCGAAAAAAAAAAAAAAATCCAAAGCTATGAGATGAAATCTATGTGGTGCAGTGACACATGCCACCAGGACGCCTGGCAGGTGTGCTGGCCCCAGTCGCCGGAGGGCTTCACAGACACGTGTCTAGGGAACAGCCCACGGCATCAACCGCTGGCCCTGCTGCCAGGAGCCTGGTGTCCACACAACCCCTCTTGCGGCTGGGACACACAGGTTACCAAGTGGAGCCGTCGGCAGGGCGGACTCCGTCACAGACGAAAGGACTGAAGAAGGTAAACGCTCATTCTGGGGCACAAGAGGTCCCTGGTGCTGGTACCCTCCGACAGTGAGCCACTTCGGGAGGTCCCCATGCGCCGGTGCCTTCACACGGAGGACGGATGACAGAAGCCTGCGAGCCCTACGAAGCCTTCAAACCACACGGTAATAATGGAGGTCATCACCACCTGGCCTGGCAGCTTCACCTGCATGGGTGCCCAAATAGCAACAGCTAAATGGGAAAGAGGGCGAGAACCGCACCTGGCGGTCCTGAGGCCCCCGGGGCCTCGCCTCGCTCCTGGGGACAGAACAGGTGTACACGGCGGGGAGTGACAGACGCTGGAGGATGCCGTGTCCTGGGGCTCCTCTGCAAGGGACAGGGAGTGGGAGGAGGGGACAGGAGGCAACGTCTTGGAGCCTGAACGTGGCATCTACTGTCAGGGGGCGAAGGAGGCTGGCAGCACCTGGCCCTCAGAAGCCCTGCCCCCATCACGGTATTCATTCCACACCTGTACACCTGAGACGGCATCCGACAGACGCAGCCCGCAGAGGACAAAGTCTGCCTTGGTCCTGGCCGAAGTGTGCCTGGAGAGCGCCTCCCGCCCGGACTGTGAAGGACGTTCCTTATTTAGATCGTACTTGTCCGTGAAAATCAATACGTCCTTTCGACTTTATTGCTTACGAAAATGCTCCTCTAGTGCCTGTCCCCAGGCCTTCGCCCTGAGGCCACCCTGTCAGTGCCACGTCCTGTCAGCGTGCCACCACCATGCACCCCTCAAAAACCTGCCCCACACGTCAATGCTGCCGGTGACCCTAACCCGTGGGAATTCAGAAAAGCGGCTCCGCTGTCCAACCACCCTCCCTGGTCGCTGCCAAGTGCAGGGTGAAGGGCTGGTCCCTGGGTCCCCAAACTCAGGTCGTGAGCTTCAACCCCACTCCAGTTTGCCCATCCTCTGACCCCAGGACACGGCACTGGCCATGGACCCGCGTTCTTCCTCTGCTTTACAAAGGACCCTAAAGTAAGAGAAAATGTTGCCAGGTGTAGCGATTTCAGCAGTCACCTCTCTGACCCTGTCTGTGCTGTGTGGGGTTGGGGGTGCCGGCGGCAGGGAAGCTGAGCCAGAGGATTCCCACAGGACAGCCCCCTCCTGTCCAGGCGAGTCCAAGACTCAAACAATGATGGTGGTGATGATGTAAGAGTTTCATCTTACACATACCGGAGCCACCACGGCTGTTGACTAATACACGTTGGCAAGAAGGGAGAGGATACACACAACCTGGTTAGGATACTCGGCCCCACTCCATCCTCCCAGACAAAGCGTTTCAACCTCAGCCCAGAAAGAGAATTGGGGTGTGTGTGTGTGTAATCTGCATTCACTTTGAAATGCAAATGAAATACTAAAAACACAAAAGGGGCAAAAGACACTAACTGCTTGGAGTACCAAGGGAGGTGTCTATTGTCCATGCTCAGGTCTCTACCTGTGTCCTCCCAGACCAAACAAGGGTGCTGCACTTTGCGCAACACGAGCCAGGGAGCTACTCAGCCCACAGCAGCTGCTCTGCAAGCCCAGGGGGCAGCCGCCGGATACCCCTCTGCACCTTGTCCCCACACTCCGAAGTCCCGGGAGAACCCCGGGGGGCACTGGGGAAGGTGGGGCAAGGTCTCCAGCCGGGCGAGCACCGCAGGCTGAGCAGCAGGAAGGGGGCTGGGCTGGCAGCAGCTCTCCCTTCTCCGTAACTTCAGTTCTGTAGAGCCTGCGTCCAAGCCAGGTGCGGGGCGGCTGGGGTCCAGCCCTCAGACCTTGCGGCCTCACCTTCCGTCCGGGTGGGCCGCCCCTGCAGGGTAATGGGGGCCTCCGAATCTCTTCTTGTATTTTCAGGGGAAGGGGCGTGCTTTCCACACGTGCTCTGGGCCGGGAGTTTGGGTGCAAGGCAGGGGAGGCGGCGGTGCCCCCTTAGCGCCCGGGGCTCGGCGTCACCGCGGAGAGCGGCGAGAAGTCCTTCCAGCACCCAAGTCCCCGTCTCGCCCGGGGGGGCGGCAGGGAATCCTGTCCAGGCAGGACGCTGGTGCGCACACACGGGCAGCCCTGCAGGGCCTCGGGCTGGGACCTGGGTCTGCAGCGAGACCAGAGGGAGAAAGGACTCGGGAGAAAGGCACCGGCGCGGCCTTACCTTGCTGACCACGTTCTGGGCGAGGCCGGTGCGGATGCCGTAGTCCCACGCGTGGCAGTCGCAATTGGAGGCGTTGTCCGCCTTGTCCGGAGGGGACGGCAGGGGCGGCGTGTCGCCGCCGGGGTCGCTGCCGTTGCCCGTCGCCCCCCAGGCCCCAGTAGAGAAGGTGGTGGGCGCGGGGCTGGTCCAGTTGCCCAGGTCGCCCCAGCGGCCGCCAGCCGCGGCCCCCGCCAGCTCGGAGCCCTTGCCGGCCCCGCGGCACCAGAAGTTGGGCTGGTCCAGGAGGAACGAGTCCGAGAACTGGGTGAAGCCGATGAACAACGCGGGGACCCAGGTGAGCAGCACGAGGGTCCTCTGGTAGCCGCCGCCCAGGCCGCCGAGGAAGGGCAGCACCGACCCGTCGTAGTCCAGCAGCAGCAGACTCGGGGCCGCCGCCGCCGAGCAGCAGCCCGGGTGCGCGCCGCCAGCACCGGGAGGCAGCGGGGGCAGCGGCTGGATCTCCGCGCCGCCGCCGCCGCCAGAGCCCGCGCGCCCCCCGAGGGGCGCCGAGGCCGCCGCGTCTCCCGGCGGCAGGGAGCCGTTCTCCTCGGTCGGGGGCAGCTGCCGCCCGGGCCCGCCGCCCGCCGCCTCGCGCCGCCGGTCTATCGCCATGGCCCGGGCCCGCGGCGCCCGCAGAGGAGGCGCATAGAGCGCGGCCGAGGCTCCTCGGGCGCCCCGGGCAGAGCGCGCCGGGCCGGGCGCCCGCAGCCGCCGCCGCCGCCGCCGCCGAGAAGGGCCCGCGGCTCGGGAGAGAGCGCTCCGCGGCCGCGGCGCGTCAGGCCGCCCCCATGTTCCCCGCCGGAGCCCGCGCCCCGGGCGCTGCGGCCCCGCTCCGGCGCCGGGCAGAGGCCCGCCGGGCCCTCAGCCGCCGCCGCTCATCGGCCCCGCGGCGGCCGAGCCCGCCGCTCTCCGCTGCTCCGCGCCGGCAGCCGAGAGGAGGAGGAGGTGGAGCCGGCGCCGCGCCTGCCCGCGCCCTTGCCGGCGACTCGGGGCCCTGCGGACGGCGGCGGCTGCTGCTCCCCGGCGCCCGGGATGTCTTTCTCGGACTTGGGAGCCTCCCGGAAGCCGCGAGCGCAGGACCCAGCAGCCAGCCAGCCCGGCCAGCCGCGATCCCGGGCTCCGCGAGCCGAGCCGCCTCCTCCTCCTCCTCCCCCGGCCCCGGCCCCGGCCCGCCCCCTCTCCCCCCGCCGAGGTGGAGGTAACCGCGGCACCTGCTGCGCCCGGCTCCTGCGCGCGAGCGCCCCCTCCAGCCGGGACGCGCCGCCGCCGGGACGCGCGCGAGGGGGGCGGGGGAAGCGGGACGCCCCGGGCCCGCCTCGGCCCGAGGATCCCCCGCCGGTCCCCCCGCGCGCGCGTCGCGGCGGGACGCGGGAGGACGAAGCGGCGGCGCGCGCGGCGCAGGGGGCGTGGGCCGGCCGGGGGATCTGGCTGTGGACACGAGCGCGCCTCCCACCCACCCCCGACTGCGAGGGTCTCCGTGACCTCGGCTGGCCTCAGGGGCGTCCGGTTTTCCGCTGCCCGCACCCCATTCCCAGTCGTGAGCCCGGAGGGGTGCAGGTCCCCGGCCTTCGCGGAGCAGGGTCTCGGGGTTGGGGGGCGTCTTGGCCACATCGCCAGGTCGCCTGCGACCGACAGCCGCGGCACCCGCTCCCAAATCGCCATTTCGTTCCCCTGTGCCAAAATACCACGCTGGGTAGGCGCGACGCTGGAAGGACTCATCGCCAGCGCGTTACGGGTGCACCCTGCCAACGCGCCGGGGGATGGCTCCTGCGCCCCCTCCCAGCGGCTCAGGTTCGCGTGCGGACACCCGGGGCACGGGCGCTCGGCCCCGCGCCCGCACACCAGCCCCGGCGGCGCGCCTCGCCTCGCCTCGCCTCTGCGGCCGGGCCCGCGCCGTATCCGTCGCTCCAGCCCTGCGGCAAACGGCGGCGTGAGCTCGCGTCCACCGCACCCGTGAGAATTACGCGGCGTCGCCACGAGGCGGGAACGCTGCATATTCTGAGAAGTTTATTAACGCAGGTCTTAGGCGGAGGAGCCGTTTCTCATTTCTTTGGGCACCCTCCCTCCCCCCAAATGTGAAAGAAATGCTGAAACGCCTTGAGCTCCGCACGCCGCATGCATGCGACCTCGGGTCGTCCCGCGCCCGGCTCAGCTGCACGCTGCAGCGGAATCCTCTGGTTTCACCTGGAGTTCGGCGTCACCGGCGAGGGAACGCAGGCACCTGGGAGAGACCCGCCTGGGAAAGCTGTCGGGGGGCCGGGCCGTGGGGGTGGGGCCGTCGAGGACGTCCCTGCAGCTGGGAAGGGGAGATTAGATAACAATGAGCGGAAGCGGCCCCACAGGCTGCAGGAGACCCCACAGCCTGAGAACTGGACCTCAGAAGAGCCCTCTGCGCCGGCGGCACACAGCATTACGTACGTGGTAGTGGTTTTCTTTCCCAACCTCGGATTTTTTGCTAGCTCCTCCCCGACCCCCCTCCTCGGAGAATGCAATGACGGGTGCTGGTGCCCAAGCCTGCGACAAACACAGTCCGTGCTCAAGGAACCGGGGCCCTAGTGACCAGGGCTGCTGGATTATTGGCAACTCACTCGCAACTTCACCAGTTTTATTCCTGTCCTCCTCTCACGCCGACTCCCCGCAGGTCCGGCTGTCTGTCTCCCTCGTCCCACCCATCGGCTTCTTTTCCTCTGAGTCATTGCAGAACAAGTACTTGTGTTGGCCTTCAGGGTCATTTCAATCAGATAACAACCATTCCGGGGAGCTTTTCAGAGCCCATGTTCAGATTCACTCTGGGGTTCAGCCCTACATTGCAGGGCCCCTGTGGGTTAGGCAAACGACTCCCTGACCAAAGACTGGGTCCAGAGCACAGCCAAACAACTGGCCTTGACCCCAGATCTTAGGACTTGTCTGTTTCAACACACAGCCGGCAGGAGACTGAAAAGATCCTTGCTGGTGTGCATTTTCCCCTGGCCCTGGGAAGGAGTTTCATTGCAAAGCGGTTACTAGTTCTTGTTCCAGGAAGTTGATAAAAATCCTCAGATGGTACATTTCCAGAACTGGGGGACACATTGGGAAACGGTGCGCCCTAAGACTGAAGCTAAAACGGAACCAACATGCAGTGTTTGGGACTTGCTACCCACAACACCCACCTGGGAATTGTAGTTTAAATTACTGATGAGGGGCTTGGTGGTGTGCACAGCGGTTGGGCTGCCCTGTGCAAAGCCAGCATCCCATAGGGGTGCAGGTTTGAGTTCTGGCTGCTCCGCTTCCAATCTGGCTCCCTGCTAATATGCCTGGGAAAGTAACAAAAGATGGCCCAAGTGCTTGGGTCCTCGCCACCCAGGTGGGAGACACAGATGGAGTTCCAGGCTCCCGGCTGTATCCTGTGCCAGCCCGAGCCATTGTGGCCATCTGGGGAGTGAACCAGCAAATGGAAGTGCGCACACTCTCTCTCCCCTCCCTCTTGCCTCTCTTTCTCCCCCTCTCTCTGATTTTCAAATACATAAATCTTTAAATACACATATATAAAAAATACTGATTCGAGATTTCCCTAAATCCATCTTGGATCAATGCCCCCTCCAAACGTAGTAAAGAGGATTAAAATGTAATTAATTTAAAATATGAACACACCACAAGTGACCTCATGATAGGCCCTAAAATAAAAGGAGTGGAGAAGAAGCATTTGGCACTCTGATCACCTCTGGGCTCAGACTGGAGGTCAGGGCTAGACTAGAGAAGCAATCAGACACCTGCCATCAGACTTACTGCATGGGAGTTACATCACCCGTGCTTCTCTTGTTTACAAATTCATTTAGTGCCTCCCACCTCTAGGATGTAAGCACCTTGAGGGATGTGTATCTGGTATTCAGTTGTATTCCTGGTAGCTAAAAAGTGCCTGGCACCTGCAAGATGTCAGTATACATTCCTTGAATAAATGGGTATGCCAAGTGATAGCCACTCAGTGATACTCTGCATTAAGTCCAGACAACTCTGGTTACTTTGATTCTGATCAGTGCCTCAAACATAGTTGCATTCTCCAGCAACATGAGAAATCCAACAACTGGAGGATGACTTTTCTTACCACAAGCTGCAGTGGCAAGTGGGTTAGCTGCCAGCGAGAAGTCCTTGTGGGCAGCTTTGCACTTGCAGGTGGCGACTGGGCAGCCAAATGCAGCTCACCCAGTACACACGATGTTTCAAAGAAATATGGACTACCGATGTTTCAAAATTGAGAGACTGAGCGTGTCCCGAGGGTAGTGTTTTGACTCCTGATTCCCCTTGTTTGCTGGCCCTTGCTTCCTTGGGATACAGAACAGGAGCAGATGTTTTCCTGCCACCCGTGTCCCTCAGGCCCCCAGTGGCACCCGACGTGGAAGCCAGGGTCCTGAGCGTGCTGCTCTCTGTGGAGAGCCCTTTGCTAGCAGGTTAAACCACCTCCTAATCACCAATAGGCTTGATACATTGATTTCCTTGGAGATAACAAGTGAAAAAAAATTTTGGTTTATCTTTGAAATTGATGGAAATCTCATTTTAACTCCTCCACAATTCTGCAGAAGTTAATTCCAAGGAATTGGTGTCAGGGTTAATTAACTTTAAACATGTAACACCAGCCATACTAAATGGATTTCATATGGTGTTGCCTGTATATTCGCATTCTTGATGCTTGGATTATAGAACGCTCACCCTTTAGATCTCCTGTGTCTTTCTTTTTCCTTGCCTCGGCCTGATTTCGTCCTTTCATTTTCTGGAGGTGGAAGAAAGTGATATAGATGACTTCCCACTCTCGCTGTGTGTACTTGAATATTATGGATGTCACCCTTTGGCTTTTGGAATGATGAGTCTGACTCTTTAACAAGGAATTTGACATTTACAAAACCCATCATAAATGAAAATGAAAAAGCTACTTTTGTTCAGTGGCAGAAGTAATAAAATTGTCGCGTAATCTGTCCTGAGGAAAGCTACAGGTAATAGTCTGAGAAAATAAAAGGGAGCGTTTGGTCCAGGACAGTTTGTCTTTCTTGATGAGGAGGCCAAGTGCAAATAAACACAGAGAAGGTAACACTTCATACAAAAGCTACTGCAGGGCGAATGTGACTGGTACGCTAGTTACTTTCAAAGCTTAGTTACAATTTCACTTTGAACTCTTTGATTGAGTAAACAATTAGGGAGTGAGTGGCCTAACCTTTAGGAACCCACATCCCACATCTTAGTGCTTGGGTTCCCTACCTGGCTCCAGCTTCTGGCTCCAGCTTCCTGCTGGAGCAGTTGGGTCCTTACCATCTACACAGGAGACCTGGATTGAATTCCTGCTCCCAGCCATGGCCTGGCCCAGCCCTGGTCATTTCCAGCACTTGGAGAATGACCCAGGGGATGGGAGCCTCTCTGTTTCTTTGCCTCTCAAAGTATAAATAAATAAATAAATAAATAAATAAATAAATAAATAAATAAATAAAAATTTAAACGGAAAGGTAAAGGAGAAAAAAATATAACATTAATTAACCTAGAGTTTGATGTTGGCTTTTGTTGGCTAAAAACCACAGATGTCACCTTTGCTTTATTGGGCTTAAGAATGTTTTCAAAGCTTATTCTCTCTCTCTTTCTCTCTCTCACACACACACACTACCTCC